TGGGTCATCAGCTGTATCTGTGTTAGAAATATCTGTCATAGAAATTAAGTAGTAAAGATTGAATACTGTGGTATGCTTTGTGTTTTATTATGTTCTGCTCAAAATTAGGACTACTGCGGTAGTAAAGATTGAATACTGTGGTATGCTTTGTGTTTTATTATGTTCTTATCAGAATTATGACTGCAGTAGTAAATATTGAATTTTTAGCTGAAATATATTTTAGATTTGATATTTTGTCATTTTGTAACATTTATTTAGTGTAATTCACAAACAAACATGAAAAACTTATATTTCTGCACAGCTCCAAGAAGTCTCACTTGCAAGTGATACAATTGTAAGTTATTTTATAATTTTTATCACCAACTCAAGGCATAGGTTTATATTTATGTATTGTTATATTACAGGTCTGTATTGACCATCTCAAGGTTTATATTTTCTAAGAAACTATAACCTCTTGAAAAGATAATGATCCTTGTTTTATTTCACACATGATTTTTCTTCTCTATTAGAGGTTTTATTACTACAGACCTTCATTGCTATACTTTTATGATGTTACAACATGTGATCTGAACAATGACTAATAAAGCTCAGCTTTAATACTTGTGTGAATGTAAATAAAGTGGTTTCACCAGTAACTTATGGTGGAATATAATGGGAAAAGTAGAATGCTTAAGTACAAACCAAAGATCTGAGAGTTTTTTATAGTTCTTTTTGTTCATGAAAATGTTTTAATGATTAAATTAGAATGTGTGAAAGCTACAGGATTTTCTATATCACAAGATATCACACAAACTAACATAGGTTTAACAATCACAGTAGGAGATGACAGAATATTTTGAAAGCTCAGTCCTTATTTAATTAATACTACTGTTAAGTTTATCATATTTAAACAATGCACATTTATTAAAAAAATATTATTTCTTCTTTATTAAATATAAATTTATCTCGGCCAATAATATTGTTAGCAAAAATCACAATACCTAGCCTCACAAAGGTAATTTTGATTTATTGATTGTTAGAATAATTGAAAATGGTAATAATCAGAAAGACTAATTTTGATTAGTCGATTAGTTTACGTGACTTTAATTGATCTAATACTTAGTCATAGGTAATCAATTAAATCACATTACAGTTTATTTGTATTTATTCCTAATAACCTAAAAGAGTGAGTATATTACAGTAAATTTGTCTGTGGCCATAGCAACTTGAAAGAGTATGTATGTTACAGCACATTTGTCTGTGGCCATAGCAACTTGAAAGAGTATGTATATGTTACAGCACATTTGTCTGTGGCCATAGCAACTTGAAAGAGTATGTATATTACAGCACATTTGTCTGTGGCCATAGCAACTTGAAAGAGTATGTATATTACAGCACATTTGACTGTGGTCACAGCAACCTGAAATAGCATCTATATTGTGGTAAATTTCTTTATAGTCATAGAAAACGGAAATGACAAAAAATTTGCAGTTTAGTTGCCTTTACTGTGTGTTTCTATGTATTTATATAGGTGCTTCAACAACCGAAAGCAATACCAAGACCACATGGTACAACAAACATTAAAACCTGTAAGACAACCTCTTTACCGCAGTCATCAACAGCAGAGTCTTCAGTGGACCTCTTAGGTCTAGGTAAATTGTGAAACTTAGTAAAACAAATTAATTCTTTCAGCATAGGCTCGGTCCCTGGGGCCGACCTTATGACCAATTTGTGCTTATTATAATTTTCATGCTATAACTTTTAAATTAGTAAGCGAATGTTAACAAACTTTGGCAGATTATCAGTAAACATTGCAATGTTTTCATACGCAAAATATCAAATTTTTTTATTAAGTCTTAAGGTTTGTAGAGCAATGTTTTTCTCATGCCCTTTTTTTTCTTTTCACATGTTGCTTATCTAACATGCAAAGTAATTTTCATTTTAATATTAAAAATACTTTTATGCATCAGAAAATTTTGAAAGTTCACATGAAAAATCTTTATAATGTCGAGATAGTTATCAAATGTTTCTTAAGAAAAACTATATTTTATCTGTTATTTGTAATAATGAATCTCTGTACAGGTTTGGTAGATTCGATCAATCTCACAACCACCATAAAAAAATTTGGAAATAAACATAAATTATGCCTCTTTCATTCTATCATGAACACAAATTATAACATGAAAACATAAATGTTTAAACTAAATAGCTTAAATCTAATAACATTATATTGACCTTTCAGCCGTGCCTGGCTAACAATACAGAATTTACAATGATGTGGCACACATGCACTCATGCTATTGTATCCAGTAACATCAAACTGACCCTCGGTCTTTACAAAGTAACCTGTCTTGGCTGTATTTTAGTACACTAGTACTTTTCAATTATTATACATTATATATGTATATAGAGTATTGCTATCTAGAAATAAGTTCTTAAGGTTATTTTTCCTAAAACAGAACAGTAAATAAAGATGTACAGCAAACAATTATCTCTTCTAGTTATGACCTTTGTACTCGGTTGCTGCTTAACGTAGGCTGCTAAGCCTTTAGAAAATTTTGCACATGAAAGATATGAAACAAAATAATTTTTTATAGATTTTATATGCATTTGAATAACTAAAAAATCATAAATTACTACATAAACACCATAGAATTCTACTATAAATCATCAAGCTTAGTAACTGAGCTGTATTTTAGTCTAAAAAAATTAAAATTTCAAGCAAACTAAAGACAACTTACCTCCTTGAAATCTTTGTTCAAAAGAAAGATATGGTATCTTAAGAATTTAAAATGGCCAAGAAAGCCACTAGGGGGACATTCTGAGCTTTTGATTGATTATTCGTGTCGTATATAGAAGTAAATGTATGTAAGGGAGCATTTTCAAAAATGGAAAGAGATGGATGGGGTGCCACTGTGTTTGGTTTATTACATGAGCAATATCTTAGCAAATAGAAATGATAAGATGTTCTTATTTTATATTCTAGCTTGTCAATATAAGTAATTTGAGTTTCTAATTTATATGAAACTATAGACTTAGTATTTTGACTTTACAAACATCTAACTTGAACCAGTGCTGCATTCAACATACCACGTAACACACAAAAATTAATGGTTATTTGTGATTTTCAATATTTACTTTTAAATTAAGAAATTGAATAATATATAGTTCTAAAATTTGAATTATAATATACAGTTTGATACAAAATTTATTGACATACATTCATGAAATAGTAGTTCAATAAAATTTTGAATGCGAGTCAACAAAAGAAATGACATGACCTTTCACGAAAGGGTTAAAAAAGGAGAAGCAGACTCTTCAATGGACCTCTGAGGTCTAGGTAAGTTGTGAAACTTAGTAAAACAAATTAAAAAAGGAAAAAAAATTGCATTTTTTGTTTTCAGTTCTTAAGAAAGTATTTCCTTTCTATTACAGATGTTCCTAAAACAGATACAGCTTCAGTGGATCTTTTAGGTCTAGGTGAGTTGAAATTAACTGAAAATTGAAAAAAATGCATTTCTTTTTGTCACTTCTAAAGAAATAATTTCTATGACAGATACAGCTGATGACCCATTTGATTGTTTGGTGACAACATCAGCATCTAACAGTAATAATACATCAAGTAATTTCTATGACAGATATAGCTGATGACCCATTTGATTGTTTGGTGACAACATCAGCATCTAACAGTAATAATACATCAAGGCAGTAGTCCTAATTTTGAGCAGAACATAATAAAACACAAAGCATACCAGGTATTCAATCTTTACTATTGTAGTAGTCCTAATTTTGATCAGAACATAAGGCTTATCAGGATTTCTACTCTTCCTACAGCAGTAGTCATATGATCAGAATGCAAGCACTAAAATAAATGGGATATTTTCCATTTCTATTGAAGCAATCCTAACACTAATTAGAACACATACAGCACTAAGCTTACCGGGCTTTCAACCTTTCCTACAGCTTTGTTTTTGTGTTGCTTTCTATCAAACTTTTCTTCTTCTACATCATACTGCAAAGAGCATAACCACATTTAGATTAATATTAAAAAGAATATCGGAAAACTGCATGTTTGAAGAGTTTAGTGAATTTGTTTCCATCTATTTTAATGATGTTCTACCTTAAAATGCATAACTAATATACAGTAAGTGGCCTCAATATGTATATTTAAAGCAATTCAACATTTTACATTTCTGTGGTAAATAAATAATACATACATTCAAGCTGTACTCTACCATATTATATTTATTATGAATTAAATATGCACATCAATACAAAATCTATTTAAGCATCTCTAATTAGATACCATGAAAAGCAAGTCGGCTCTAGAACAACTTATAAAAAGTTCAAAAATTCATTTAAACATCTACGAGTAGATAAAAAAAAAAACTCAAATTCCAAGTGTCCACTTCAACAAGTAACAAGAAAAAGCCAAGTCTCAGAATCCACTTTTATAAGTAATTACAATGAAAGCCTCAGAATCCACTTTTACAAGTAATTAAAATGAAAAATGTCAGAATTTACTTTTATAAGTAATAATAATGAAAGTCTCAAGATCTCCAAAAACATCACTATGAAAAACTCAGTCCCAAAGCAATTAACATTAACACTAAAATCAAAAAATATATTTATTCGAGTATAATTGTTCACAATGAAAGTATAATGTAAAATCATTTATCCACAGTTCTGTTAACACAAAGAACATTCGAATGAACCCCAGGACATTTTACAAAATGTATATATAATCATAAAAAAATATATACATCCATATGGTATATTTTTATACGAGTTTCCTATTAATCAAATCAGTCCATGGTTTTGAAGAAAATTAATATTCAATGAAATATAGATCAGTAAACATTGAAAAGATTATAATTGTTGAAATGTGTCCTTTGAAGCCATTTTTTGTGTTCTAGTGGATCTTTTGTGATATTTTAGGATGATTAAAAGGACTTATTATCTAATGATAAATATTTACCATGGAAACCACAGCTCAAAAATCCATTAAACAATAAACACACTGGTCACAGAATCCACTAAATAACTGCCAATAAAAAATTTATAAAACTATACAAACACCAGCTGTGAGTAGCCTGTCATCACAGAAAATAACTAAGAAATGGATAAGTCATATTGAAGTGCATTCAAAAACTCACCCATTCTTTAGCAATAAATCGCTTATGTTCATATTTATCACGTACGAACGTTTCCAGCAAACTGAATAAATACATTGAGGAATGGCAAAAAAATAATAATTAATGATGTTTAAAAGATTCAAAAGCTATTACAAAGATTTTATCACTTAATATGTTAAATACAGAAATTAAACTTGGTATAAACTTACCCTTTATATTTCTATTTGTGAAATGAAAGAGAAAAGTAACAATGACCTTAATGTTAAAATTAATAATAATAAAACATCTCAAGCACTAAAGTTCTACAATTTTAAGTTAACTACACAAATTCTAATAAAGGATACGAGTCAGACTGAGGTCTGTTGAAGTTGTCTGGAAGGTTGGCTTCGTAAATAGCTCTAGCTTTGCTGTTGCCCATTCCTTGTAATAACTGAAACAAATTAATTACAGCTTTGGAAATTAATTACAACTGAAATGATGGAAGAAAACTAAAGATGTTATTACAACTTTAGAACAAGATTTAATCTTTTTGTAACAGCAGAAACAAAAACAAAAATTACAACTTCAGAACAATACTTCTCATTTCTTCTAACATATAAGGTTTCCAGTCATACCTCCAGTTCAACCATTGTATACCTCAAATGGCTGAAGAATGAAGCAAGTATTCAAACTATTCTAATATGAAGACAAAAATGGTCAAATCATCAGGCAATGTGCCTAGAGATTTCTGCATCATCAGATGTTGAAACAGATGTTTGGAAATTATCATCCTCATTCACTATATGGATTGTGGAATGTTTGCGGAGATAAGTGGTGTGCTTTGGACATGACAGCCATATCACAGGGTCTTTTCCTATGGAAACTATATTGCAGAACTACTGTCACAGTCATCAAATGCAGCATAGAAAGACCTAGCAATATGAACTATAATTACGTGGTGAGGCTCCAAAGTAATTCTGATATTACATATGCAACCTCTGTATAGGGGTTACAATAACAAGTTTCAAATGGATATTGTTCTACGTCACCTAATAAAAGATTGATATCAATAAGAAATTGTTTAAAAGAACACAGTTGTTAATAAAAAGGATAATGATGTAATAATCAGGGAAGACTAACCTTAGAAACACTGACTGGGATTGCATGAAGGCAAGAGACAGCAGATTCTTGAAGTGGTTTAGTATAGTTTTTTATACCAAATGGTCAGAAAGCCAACCAGAGGTTTAGTATCAACCACTTAAGAATATTTGATTATAATAGTTGAAATAGGAGAAGCATTTGGGGATGAATAACCATTGAAAAATTATGTCTGATGTTTTACAAGTTGAGATCTAAAAAAATGAAATTTTAGTTCCTAATTTTCAGAATGTCAATTCATTATTAATGAAATAGGATAATATGTTAATATGTGACATGGGACAGATTTGGAAATTTTTTTTAAAATAGATTGCTCTTAATTCAATATAGGTATGGTTTTCAAAGACAAAAAATGAATAAAGAAGACAAAATTTATTGGCTTACGAAGGACATAAAGGAAAAAATTAAGGAATAACTATAAAAGTTTCAATGACAGATAGGATGTACAAACTATAGGAGATCTAAGGATTTGGTTAACACAGAAATTAGAAGAAACAACTGACTGATCATGTTTAAACTTACAGCAAGAATTTTTTGAGCATGTTTGTGATGAACAAAATGTTAATATGGAGATTGGAAGTTTATTAACCCACTGACTGCGGCTGCTTTAAGCAAACACAAAATTTTTTCAAGTCGTACACCATATACGGCACACTCACATTCAACTGCCAGAGGCAGACAATACCCTATACGGTGAATCAGCAGTCAATGGGTTAAAGGATAATGATCCAGGTTTTTGTTTAAGAAATGAGATGGCCAAGCTATTAAATGTTTTCACCAAATAGAATGTTAGCCATATTTCTGACTCATGCAGATATTAATCCCTTGGTGGTAAGTAGAAAGATTGAAGGATTAAAAACAGATGAAACACAGGACCAAACAGTGATTTTTCTAAAGTTTTAAAGATAAAGTATGCAAACCTTTATCTCTCTCATTTTTGGTAGCAGAATACATAGTGAGTAAGTGCTTGAGAACTGGACTATTGCTAAAGGGCAGGTTCTTTTGGATTATTTGGTGAAAAAAAATAATGCAAAGTCCAGCCAGCTTAAAAATAACAAAAACATTTCATTTTTTTCAACTTCATTTTCAGGATTAGAATAAACAATATTCCCTGAGTTAGGATAAACAATAAACAACTTTCACCAAGTTAGAGTAAACAACATTCACCAGGAAGCCTCACTTAGCAAATAAACAATGTACAAATTTCACTTACTTGCTAAGAAAAAAGTTGGTCCCAATGGAATCTAGTCAAACTGGATCTTTGTTACAAGTACTGCACTTCAGGAATTTGGGTTTTTTAATTTATTTTTTTTTCTATTTACATTCCTAACATTCATAGTGGCAAAATTAGTAGTGTACTGATAATATTAAATTTGGATATTCCTAACTATACTTAGGATGTTGACGTATTATAGAATGACTTAGATCAAGTGGTAAGTTGGACATATAAAAAAGACAATTGATGTCATGCATATATTTTCTTGAATAAAACAAATAATCCTCATCCAAACTGAAATCTGCATGCAACAATACGCAATTAAGCATGCTGAAAGATTTCAGTAACATACATAAAGATCAAATTATAAACTTACAAACCTTACATATCAGAGAAATGAAATACAAATTCAAACCAACATATTCAGAAGCAAAAATACACTCATTTTACTATTAGCCAAATTTTCTTTTTTATCAGAAAAAAAATATATATATATATATACAATTTTACATTTACTTTCATTTAAATGAGAAAAAACTTAAGCTTCTTTTTTTCTCTTTGTGTGTGTAACCCTTTAGTTTTAAAACCTATGCACACTTACACCAACTTGCTCAGGAGTCCAAGTGTCTAGGTTTACAGATTTGACCCTTGAGATATGAACCCCAAGATTTCTGTGGATTCCAGCACATCGAATACAAAGGAAAATTCCTAGATTCCAAGATGCCCATCGAGGTCCTACAGACCAATTAAAATTTATGTTACTAGAATATATAAACCAAAAACTACAATATATACTCCAAATTCTTGCAACTTCTATAAACTTTGTTTGATACACTATAAACTACAAGTTTCAGCAAACACTTCTTTTATGTAGTTAATTTGTAGAATAATACATCAGATGAAGTGCATCTGTTGTTAGCTTTGTTTATAGGCAGTAACAGTCCAGGTGGTATATTCTGAGTGGAGTAGGGGACAAGTTATTCAAAAGGACTGAAGGGGAAGTAAAACGTTATTATTAACAGACTTCAGTAACTGGACTATTCTTACAAGTAATGTGGCTCAGAAATCTGTGCTGGGACTATATTTAATCTAAAAACAACTGGTTGGTTGATGATATAAAAAATCTTAGGTGTGGGTGAACACGTGGCAAATGGCATTTCATTATGATTAGTTTAACATTAAACATGTGGGTTATCATAAAGTACACATATAATTTAGATGAAAATCCTCTTAATTATGTGAATAAGGAAACAGATTTTGGAGTATTCGCTAATATAACTAAACCCTCAAGACGATGTTCTACTGCAAGCAGTAAACCTATATAGTATAAATCACTAGTTAGGACTCAATTGTAATTATCTTAAAGGATGTTGAATCATTGGAGAGGGTTCAAATGAAAACTACTAGGATGAATTTCAGGATGGATGGGCTGTCATATGATGATAAGATGAGATCTTTTAACTTGTTTTTTCTAGAAAAAAAGAAGGGTTAGTAGTGATCTAACTGAACATTTCAAAATTATACATTAAAATCTTATTTAATGAAAGATCAAATGTGTCACTGAAGACCTTTTTTTAGCAAACATAATAATGCAAAATATGCTGAACAAAAATCCAAACAGGAATACAAAAGATAGAAAGCAACTTAGAATCCATTGAAAAGACTAATCCATGTCCTCTTATCAGTTTTATTCTGAAACAAAAAAAAAAAAAGACTTAAATTTACAACTTATAATATAAGAAATCTGTTAGTGTTACTAAACTGAACAATACTGTAAAATTTAGGAGATTACTAGTAGTAGTAGTAGTAGTAATAATAATTTCCCTTTGTATTTCTTTAAAACCTAGCAAAAATAAAAACACCTTGTACTTAGTTTGTGTCAGATGGGTTTTGTACATACTTTGTACTAATTACTTAAATCTAACAAGTTATTTTTAATTTTAAGTGTTTACAGCTACTATTAGTACCAGTACTGAATTAAAAAAGGCCATTTTAATTTAAGCAAACAAATCAGCTGATACTCATCCTACTGATACTGATAGCGAGTGGTATAGCATTAAGTTTAAAAATTAAAGCAAACAGGGTTATAAATAAAATGAAAAAATTCTGGTATCCATGCTATCACAATGTGATTGCTTCAAAGATTTTATAAATTACAATGTAATTTTGTAAAACTAAAAATACACAGCCTGTACTGTATGCTGTATATGTAAAAAGTTTTTAACTGAATTTCCTTCCGGCTTTTTAAACTACAACTTACATGTACAAATTATATTACACAGTTTGCACACACAGTTATTAAATAATTTAAACTACATTACCTTTTGCGTCACAATCAACGCAGTACTTATTATCTTCTTCTCGTAAAAGTTGACACAGTATTGTCTGACATTTTTCCTGAATTTGCTTTTGCTTTTCCTTATCAGCTTTATTAGCCATTTTCTAGTAGGTGTACGTTTGATTACACACCTCCCTCAGCAACTTCGGATATCATTTTCCCTTTTACGTCATTTCCTAGATCCTAAATATTTGCTGTACCAGTGCTGTTTCTTATTATAAAAAAAATTAATAGCACTAACATATATATTTATTTCCTAACTCTGGATTGAAAACACTATATTACCTAGTTTATTAATCTCTTTAAAAAAAGCGTGTGTTACTAAGAGTAAATATTAAACTCATTCTATCATTTGGTATTGTTACGTCTCTGTTCGTTTGTTAATTTCCCGTAGAAATTCTTCTCGAGAAACTTCAGCGATACAACTCCTTTCTTAAATAAAACTAGTTTATTCTTTCTCAATACAACTTTGCAATACACTTAATTTCCACAGTCACTTTAACTTCAACACACGCTATAATTCACATCGATTCACACACTTTAATTACGGCTTGACTCGATTATCTACCTCTATATCTTTCTATCTGCAATTCAATTATCGCCGTCACTTTATTTGCCGGCTTATCTACTAAAATTAAGGGCGCCTAGCAAATACTGGATTATTCCTGATGTTCCCCGATCCTTCTAGAAACTCATTACGTGTTATCAGCGTCATGTGATTTCCGCTGTCGTAACAGTATGATATTTTTCACTGAGTGATATCAGTTTCGAGGAAATCCACCCCTTAACAGTGAACACTGTATCATATAACAGGGAAGATCTCTGTCATTATGGGTTAAGCCAATCTAGAGCAAGTTTGTCGTGGGTATAAGTAGTGAAAGAATGCTACATAACATTAACTGTTGCACTTTTAGGTCTCAAACGTTTCTCAAAAGGAAAGTAAATAAGTCTCTTTTCACAAATATTGTTACGTCTCCGTTTGTTAATTGATTTTCCGTAACTTCGTTCCGACGAAACTTTAACGACACAAGTCCTTACTTAATAAAACTGGTTTATTCTTTCTGAATATAACTTTACCGATACACTTATTTTCAACAGTCGCTCTATAACAAACGATATAACAACTAACGTTAGCTTCAACAATACTTTCTGACTGCAATTCAATTACTCACTACCTACACACATATTGTCACGTCACGTTGTGAGCGTCTTATATATATACCAGACAAACATATATCTAGTAAATGCTAGGGCATTCACGAAGAAACAAGATATTTCTAGAAAATAGGTGGCGTGACACTAGTCACGTGACCTCGCTGACGCAACACTGCCCTCTCCTTAGTATTGTTCGGGACGAACAATAACCACATACAATAAACCAATAACAATTAACAATAACTTAATTAAATGTTAAGAATTACAATCACAAAATTACAATTCAACAAGGTCTCTTAATTTTACGGGACGTATCTTCTTCCGTACTGGTCTTCATCTCGTTGGCTCAGCCTTCATGTGGGATTCATCTGA